CCCAAGGACTGCCTGTACAAGCCTGCACTCACCTGGGCTCACCTGCCCTCACCTGTGCATACCTGCCCTCACCTGGGCTCACCTGCTCTCACCTATGCTCAGTGTGGGGCACTGGAGTCCATGGATACAGGCCTTCCTCCCTAACAAATGGAGAGCTGGCCAAGGCCCAGAACTGTTCCAAGCCCCTTGCTCACAAAGCAACTACTCTGAGAAGTATTTGAGCCAACAGGAAGTGTCAGAATTTGGACAACAGGTTTGCTGGGGGACACACAGGCCAGGTCACTCTCCTCCTAGCTGTGTGGCAAACTCATCCAGATAAATCTGATAAATGCCTGACCTGCCAGGCCAGGCCAAGCAATGTAGAGACAAGCTGGACAAGTCCCTTGGCTGGCCAATGGCTGAGTTCTCTTGGCCTTTTTCACTTCCTTCCACTCTTCGATTTCAAAATCGACAGCCCTGATTGGCACAACATGATACATCCTTTGCAGAAAGAGTGCGGAACTTTGCAATTTTCATTACTGTTTGGAAATGTTAGGTAAACTTTTTCTGAGCCCAAAGGCTGCCATGGTTAACATCTCCAGTGGAAAAGCCAGGTGGGAGACGATGTGTTTGTAGTGACCAGCTTTGGCTTTGAAAAGAGCCCAGCATGGTCAGCAGAAGCTAATGGGGAGTGTCCACACATCAGTGCTGTCCAGAAGGCATGCTAGGCCATGAGCAGGAGAATGCCCCCGTATCTGTCTACCATCATCATGTTCCCTATCTGAAATGCCGATTTACAAGTTGTCCAAGCTCAGCATTTACAGGAACACCATCATGAGGTATATGTCTCAAAGAAATCAGAGTCTCCCCGTGAACAGACTGATGCTCCACGCGGCATTATTCACAACAGCAGAGAGATGGAAACAACTGAAGTGCTCATGAATAGACGAATTCATAAAGGACATGGTGCCTTCACATTGCAATGCTAAAACAGTTTAAAGAGTTCTTGGAACACTGACTAACAAGGATGGATCTGGAGGACATTATGCTAAGTGAAATAAGTCAGGCACGAAAAGGTGGTGCTGTCCTAAAAAGTTAAGGAGTGATTTATACAGAGAATCTCTCTTAAGCGCCTTCCAAGGATGGGAAGGGAGGGAGGGGGAGGACAAATGAGTAAATAGATAATAGGCACATGACAACATAGGTGAACGGAAAGGCAATACCCAGCAAAAGGGTAATCAGCACAGTATCACTGAAGAAAGGGAAGTCTCAGAGAAGTGTAGAAGGATTGGTGGGAATCAGAATTACAGGAAGGAAGCAGGGAAAGTGCTGTTACAGTGTGGGTATCGAAATGAACCTTATAGAACAAAATGCATATGAATGGTTGAATGAAAATCAGTTTGCCTGGGAAACCTTTACTCAGATCACAGTGGAAGAACAGGCAATTTACAATAAAGCCTCTCTAGTTCTGAGAGAAAGGAGCTCTGTGGGGCGATCAGAAGCATGTTGAATGCCGTGCATCTCCTGTGGTTCATGTCCTCCTCACAACAGTGGAAGGTCAGTTGTCTCAATGGCAGCGCAGAGGAGGAGTTCCCAGGGGAAGGAGCCCCGGTGAAACAGTTCTTAAAGCACTCGACTCTCGACTGCCAGTTCAAGGCCGATGGTTCAAAACCACCAGCCTCTCTGCAAAAAAGATGTGGCCATTCACTTCACAAAGCATGGAGACGCACGGACACAAAAACCTGCTTGCAGTTCTGGCCTGTGCTACAGGCTTGCTGTGGACAGAAGTCAATTCAAGGACAAGGGATTTAGTTGGAAATTTTGGGCCTTAGAGAAGTGCCCTGGTGGCACTGTAGTAAAGCACTAATCTACTCACAGAGAGGACAGCGGCTCAAGTCCACCAGTTACTCTCCAGGGGAAAGATGGGGCAGTCTGCCTCTGTGTAGATTACAGCCCGTGGAGCAGTTCTTCTGTGTCCTATTCCCGGGGGGGAGGGGGGAGGTTGTTCCGGATCAGAACTGACTCCCCAGCAGCCAAGGAGTGCAGAATAAAGGCTGCACGGTGGAGTGGACTTGGAGGAAGGGATTGCATAACAATGAAAGTTTTACTTTTCAAGGAGAAGAGTGAATTGAGGGGAGAGGGACAGGAAGAAAAGTGCACCAATGAATGACTGGAAACCCTAAATCTCCGTGGACTTTCATTAAAATTAATAAGACATGATCTCTGGGCATTATCAGCAGTTGCCAGCCAGAGCAGTCACCCAGCACCTTCTGACCTTGGTGGTCCTCATCGTGGGCAGGGTCTTGCTTGAGAGGCTGGAATAAAGGGCCATAGAGGAAACAAAGCAGATACAAATGCTGAGCTCTGTCCAGGGCTGCTCCACCCACCTAGCCCTGCCCTGGTCAGGAGCACCTGGATGTGTCCACCACCATCCAACTCCACCCTTTCCTCGGTCCTGTGCGTCGCAACAGCCTCCTGTGCCTGGCCGTAGACAGAGTCTCCACTGGAGTCACTTAGCTCGAATCCCAGGTTCCAAACTGACTTTATACGAAAATCAGAAAACCGTAGATATTAGCTCATTAGCTAATTAACAAAGCTTCACCTTTTGAATTGAAAACAAAACTCAAACTCCTCAAGGAAAATACGCAACAGTCTGCTCCTGTGTGGAACTCGAAACCCCGTGACTCAACTAAAAGCCAAATGAAAAACAAGCCCCTAAGACGAGGAGGACAGGGCCAGGGAAGCTTTCCTTCCTTAGAACAACAGCCAACCATATGGGATCCAGAGGGCAGCATCGGCCCAGGAAGAAAGCTCAGAGTCAGGACAGAGGAGGGCGGGGGCTTGACAGCCATGAGCATCACCAAGGGGAGGAGAACGAGGAGTGCAGTCACTGTCACAAAACAAGTGTGTGACGGTGCAGGGGAACCAGTGGCATTCATTAAAATCACACACACCCCCAGTTGAAAGAATGCAAAAAGTAAAACTTGTAAAAAATAAAAGTAAAGTTAAAAAAAATTAAAAAAATATAAAAGTAAAGTTTTCATTTCTTAACACTAAATAATGAAAATGTTTTTAACTCCAGGGTTCAGGAGCAAGCATGTTTTGGTTCTGAAAGGCTGAGTCTCCTACCTGAAAGCGTGACACAGGCTTTGGAAGGCTTAGTTCGTCTTTGCAGTGAAGCAGGAACTCCCCATCTACCTGTGCAGGTGAGGTGGGGCCACAGGAGGCTTGTGACATCACTATACCACTGGGCAAAAGGTGCTTTTGATGTCTCTAAGACACAGTCATGCTAGGCTGGGTTTAAAAAATTATAACTAAGATTTAAATAAGCTATAAACCTAGCACTGCCATCCAGGACTCAAATCCCTACAATTATCTACTTCCTTGAACTCCAAATTCATTGTCACTGTATCAGTTCCGACTCACAGTCAGCCCTCAAACCAGCCACGGACTTTCCTGAACTTGCGATCTTCACAGAAGCCAGCTGCCTCTTCCTCCCTAAGAGTAACTGGCAGGTGGGTCTGAACCACCAACCTGCTGGTCAGCAGCAGTGTGATTAATCCTTGTGCTAGGCGTCTCCCTTTTTAATTAAACTTCAAAAACACTGCCTCAAGTAAATTTCGACTCACTCTGACCTGCCATTGGCTTTCTAAAGCTGTAACTCTTTATAGAAAGAGATTGTCCATGTTTCTACCACAGAGTAGATGGTGGATTTGAACTGCTGAACTTAGCACATTACACCAGCAGAGCTCCTACACCCAGGACTAAAGACTGCCTTTCTCTTCAGTCAGGGGTGGAGATGCGGACATGCGAGGAGATGAGGCACCTTTTACGTGAATGGTTTATAAACGCATGACCACTGGCCCACCGGTTAATTGCTGTGAATCAGCTCTGACTCATGGTGGCTCTGAGAACGGGGATCAGAGTATAACTGGCCTCAACTGGGCTTTCAGGAGTCAGTTTTTCACAGACCGCCAGTCATTTCTTTGAGGTGCCTTTGGGGGGCCTGGAACAGGCAGCCTTTCAAATAGCAGCCAGAAGCGTAGCCTTTCACACAGAGAAGAGACTGTGTGGGTCGCACAGGACTCCACGGTGGCTGCCACATCCTGTGAGTAACACCTGTTCAGAGCAAAGTCCATTGAATACAGCAGAATCTGCATCTGTAGACTCTTTGACATGAAGTTACTAAAATTCAGTTTTTTTAAAGAAAACACAGTGTTTTTTTTTAAAAAAAAACACATAGATCGGCTTTTAAATAATCATATTCAAGGACATACATTGGCTAATTGATAAGCAAGCCATCATCCCTATTCTCCTCTCTGGAGTCAAGTATGATTACATCAAAAGCCAGAAAAGGGGGGGGGGAAATTCATAAAATAGGCAATTTGTGGAAATAGGAGATGAGTTCCAGTAACAATGAGATGGTTTTAGATAAGAAGGCAAATCGCACAAGTTAGAGAAATGAACTTGAGATAAAGGAAGAATAAATTGGTCAGGATTTTAACTTTATATGCTTCAACTACATATATGCTTATAATGAAATTGGGCAGAGGCTATTACACCAACTGAAAATTCAGTCAATATCATTTACAGCGTTATTTCTTTTGCTTGATACAGCCCATCTTCCTAGGCCATATTGTCACTTAATTATTTGCTCATCAGAACTTGGGAGGGGATCCTTCAACATGCTGCTCTTGGGTGTCATTGGGGTAGCCTCAACTTGAGGCTATCGCAGAATGAAACCCTGCCAGCCTGTGCCGTCCTCAGCTCCTCTGCCGAGTGTCAGTCCACCGTCCGCCCCTCCCATGGAGCATCGCCATGGCCTAACATCGCCACCCTAACAATCAATCCCAGCTCAGGGGCTGAAAAGAGACAGACACTCGAAAGGCCCCTTGGATCCAGTTAAGTCAAAGCTCACAGGACGTCATTTTGAGCGCTATCTGACCCAAACATCAGATTCCTCCTCTAAGACCCAGTTAATTTGATCTCGCTCCATCCATCCAAACAGTTTCATCAGTTACCTTCAAAATACTTGTCTGGCTCCTCAAGGCCCTGGGTCAGCTGTTGAGAGCCTTTGCCACGGAACAGTCCATAGGATAGAGTCACGTTTCCGCTGGAAATGTCATCACTAATGGCCAATGTGCTTCTGATCCAGGCCTGTGTGCCGAGAATAGAGCAAATGACGATGAAGGATCCGAGGCTTGTGAAAAAGCTCGATAAGAATGTCAATATTTTCGTCCGTGTAGGCATTTTCTCAGGCAATGAAATCCACAAGAGTAAGACAAAGAACCAAATGAAATAAAGATTGTGAAAAAAGTATTTCTGGATCTTGTTATTGGTGCCCAATAAATAGAAACAGTGTCTAATATACACTGTTGAACAGTGTACAAAAAACACCCTGATCTCCCTGGGATGAGTTATACCAATGGCCGTCAAGCTGTGGGCATAAACAGGGTCAGAAAGATTTACAACAGCTGGACTTTGATCTGAAGTAAAATGTTGCCATGGTGACAACCAACCAGCAGTCACAAGAGGCTAGGCTTGGTCTTCCACAGGACTTCCTCAATCACACAATTAATTTATAACTACTCTAATGGCCTAGTCATAAGAAACTGCACTGTCAACTCAAACTGTGTGTTCAAATCCACTAGCAGCTCGGTTGGAGGAAAGACAGACAGCCTCCTCCCTCATGATTAACTGTCTGAAAACCTGCTGGAGGGTCAGCTAGGAACGGCTTCTGACTCATCTCTATACAACAACTTCTTGGGCTAAAGAGAGGAAACTGCAGAAAGTAAAAGATACTGGAAGCAATTACGGAAGAAGATCAAAGAGTATAGCCTTTCAATATGGATTATACCTTCACATCAAGGAAGCAAGTCTTTACCACTGGGTCAATAGACAACGTCGTGAGAGGTGGAGAAAAGATTGAAGTTGAGGACTTCACTTCACTTGGATCCGCAGACAACAGCCATGGTAGCAGAAGCCAAGGATTCCAAAGATGCGCTGCAGTGAGAAAATCTAGCAAGGTCCTCGTTAAACAGCTAAGGAGCTGGAGGCCAGTTTAAAGACGGGCACCTAACCCAAGCCATGCTATTTTCAGTTGCTCTGTATGTGTTTGACTACTGGACAGTGAATAGGGGTATTCTTCAAGAATACTGAAGAAAAGGATGCATTTGAATGGACGTTTGTGGTGCGGAAGGAGAATATTGACTCTGTCGTAGACTATCAAAGAATAGACAGGTCTTAAAGGAAGGGCAATCGGGGTGCTCCTTGGAGGCCGAGAGGGGAGACTTCATCTCATGTACTTTGGACACGTGGTCCGGAGGCAGCGGACCTTAGGAAAACAGACGGTGTTTGGAAAAGCAGAGAGTCAATGAAAGAAGTGAAAACTCTCATGGGAGGCTTGGGCATGGACTGTGGGGATGACGCAGGAGAGGGCAGGGCTTTGATCTCCATGGGATCACTGAGTCACAGACGACTTGACAGCAGTAGCAGCAACACGTGTTTGACTAAGGAGCCCCGATTGACTAGGTTTTAGTTGTTAGATTGCTAACCAACAGGTCAATAGATAAGTGTCCTGGCCACTCTCACAGAAAGGTAGTCTCCTCCCTTAAGGATTAGAGCCTGAGAACCCTGATGGGAGGTTACCATGAACTCATGGTTAGTGGTCAACTCAACTGACTCAACGGTGGTAAGGGGAGGCAGGGATGGAGGGGTGCTGGGCTGTGAATCAAAAGCTCCAGGGTTTGAAGGAACTAGTTGCCCTGAGGGAAGAAGGTGAGGAAGTCTGCACTGGCTGAGATTCACAGGCAGAACTGTGGGGAGAAGATTCACAGACTCACAGTCAGAACCGTGGTGAGAAGATTCATCTCCAGAACCATGGTGAGAAGATTTGTCTCCAGAACCATGGTGACAAGATTCATCACCAGAACCGTGGTGAGAAGATTCAAAGACTCCCAGTCAGAACCGAGGTGCGGGTCACCAGGAGTCAATCTGGAGTTGTGGCTAAGGTTGTTATTCCTGTCGAAACCCCGGAGAGGCTGGGTTGTCTTGGGTGCCATGGGGATGGAAGTGTGAAGCTTACGTCTCTATTCCCTCCTCTTTAGTGCTGATTAGAAAGGTGTGCCTTCCCAGCCCTCTAATTGAATTCTATTTGCACGTAACTTACATAGTAAGCTGAGAGGTTTCACCTTTCGTTCTCTTTTGTACTCTGATGAAGACGGTTCTGAACATTTTTGTGTTCTGGTGTTAGCCCTCCATAACTCTTTAACCAACTGGCTAACAGTATAGAAATCATTCCTAGTCCTCAGAGAAACATTTCTCCCCATCCCCCAACTTCATTTTTGAAAGGGAGACTGTTTCTGAAGACAATAGGGGTTTGAGTGGTGATGTTGGAGAAGAGTATTGACTAAACAGAAATATCCAGGAGAAAGGGCAGCCAGAGTGCTCCTTGAAGGCAAGGATGACAAAGCTTTGTCTCCAATACTTTGGCCATGTTGCTAGAAGACACTTTTCCTTGGAGAGGAATATCATGCTTGAAAGGAGGGTCAGCAAAAGAAAGGAAGACTCTCAATGAGGTAGAGTGACACAATGACTGAAGCAGTGGGCTGAAGAATTTCTGAGATGATGAGAATGACACAGGGTGGGACAGGGTTCAGATATGTTGCTCATAGGGTCGCTATGACTGGTATTTGATTTGACACCTAATAACAACAGTGTATTTATTATTCCTTTGTGTATGGCATTCTTCAATTATAAAGCAGCATAGTCTATGCATATGAATCCTGGTGGCCTAATAGGTTAAGTGTCAGACAGTTAACCAAAAGGTCAACAGTTTAAACCCATCGGCAGAAAGATGAGCACGCTCCCCCACTAAGATTTACAGCTTCAGAAACCCAGCAAAGAGTTGCTATGAGTTAGAATTGATTCAAGGCAGTAGGTCTGGCTTGGGTTCTTTTCCTGGTTAACTCCCAAATCCCAAGCCCACTGCCCTGAGTCAGTAATGACCTAGGATGACCATCAGGTTTCTGAGGCTGTAAACCTTAGTGGGAGGTGACTGTCCATCTATCTGTTTTTCATGGGACAGATGGTGGATTCAAACTGCCAATCTTTGAGGTTGCAGTGCAGCTCTTACCGTAACACACCACCAGGGCTCCTGGCTAGTGTGTGGTTTACCTGGGGGATAGTTTATTGTCCTTCCCATTGGAGGAACCAGGCTGAGCCCAGGGTGTGCTGAAGAGCTGGACCTCATCAGATGCTCAGCAAATACACATTGAACGAACAGCTGGTCACCTGCACATTTCTCCACTGTTGTAGATGCAGGACTGTGTCTCTCAGCTGCTTTTGTTTAGGAATACCGCGTGGCACCTTGCACGCAAATGTCCATTCCTGGTTATGGTGGTGGTTTCTTAGATTTCTGGGAACGCGTCAGTGTGCGGACTCTAGCTGCAGCTGTGTGATGCTTTGTTCAGTTGTTCTAAAAAGAGGGCACCGTCCCTTCAGCGCTCTGCTTCTAGTCTTCTGGGCTCTCCAAGCTCGGGTCCTCTTCTTGAACTCCATAAAATCATACACCTCCTTTTGGTTTCTCCTTTCAAACCCATCGGCCACTCCACAGAAGAAAGATGTGGCAGTGGCTTCGTATGTCCGTTTTGGGCTATCTTGCTGGGCAGTTCTACTCCATCTCTGTCTACAGGGTTTCTACGAGTCAGGACCGATTACATCCTGGTGGCTTTACTTGTTTGGGGCTTCATATTCCTGACAACCCAATGGTTAGGTACTGAGCTGTGAGCCAAAATGTCAGTGGTTCAAATCTACCATTCACTCTGAGGGAGAAAGATGAAGGAATCCGTTTCTGAAAAATTACAGTTTGGAAACCGTGAGCCAATCCATTTAATAGAAACAGGTTGGGTAGGGTTATGACCATTTTTGGGGTTTTTTTTCCCTACTGTGGCCTGGACACTTCCTCCGTGAAGAATATTTGGAATAATTTTATCCCAAAAAGAGTCATTAGAGACTCTTGGAACATTTCAGCCCCTGCCACCTGACTTCAAGTGTCAGGAAACTGTGTCAATAGATAGATGATAGATAGAGATAGATAGATAGATAGATAGATAGATAGATAGATAGATAGATAGATAGATAGATAGATGATAGAGATGATAGATGATAGAGATGGAGATATAGAAAGATATCTAGAGTGAGATATATATGTAGATATATATCTATCTATATATCTATATACATAGAAAAAGAATGTGTGTGTGTGTGCATATATGTATATATATGTATGTATCTAGTTATCTATGTTGTTGTTGTTGTTATGTGCCATTGAGTTGCTTGCAACTCATAGCAACCCTATGTACAAGAGCTCTAAATGCCGTTCTATCCTGTGCCAACCTCGCCGTCTCAGACACACTCATTCCCACCACTCCAGTCACAGAATCGATCCATCTCATCGAGGGTCTTCCTCTCCTGTGCTGTCCCTCCACTCTCCCAAACATGATGTCCTTCTCAGGACCAGTCCCTCCTTAGATATATATATTCTACATTCTTTTTCTGTTTTGCTCTCTTTTTTCCTCTGACTACCGGAAGTCATTTCATGCCCAATGCTCCATCATGGTCACAGAAGCAAGGCCTCCTTTCCCCCTTGAATGATGACACAGCCACATCTTCCTCCCCTCAGCATTTTGTGCAAATTACTTCACTGACTTTTGAAATGGGATCTGGTTTTGCTGAGGTGGCCCTCTGATGGTGTAGCTGCAAGGACACCTAATCTGATGTATTTGGGTTGAGAATGTTCTGTATAGTTTCTTCCCCCTCTTTCACAGAACTACACATGCAGTTAATTCCAGCCATTTCTTTCTGTCGTGTGTCTGAATCCAGTATTCCATGGCTGAACCTCAGGGCTGCCCATTGTTCTGGTGTTGGCTTATCTTTGACCTCCAATTCTACCATCCTCTGCCTCTAACTGGTTTTATCTCTCTATTTTTTCCTCTGCTTTTTTTTGGCCTTTCTTTGCTGACACTAGTTCATTTTAAATCAATGTGTTTTTTACTTTATGTATCAAATATGACATTGGTTTAGAGTCCCTCCAAAGCATACTGTCCACCTCATTTTGATTGATTGTTATCTCAGAATTAGTCTCTTGTTTTATTGAGTTCTTCTTATTGTAAACTGCTCTACAGCACGGCACATTCAGGGAAGCATCTCTGTACATGGCCTCCTCTCCTTTTGACATATTCTTGCATAGT